TACACCACAGTTATTTTTATTGGGTATTATGGACAATTTGGACCAAAAAGAAATGAAATTGATGTTGTATTGTATAACAGCAGCAAGGATCTTAATTGCTCAAAATTGGAAAAAAAAGATGTTACCAACTATGGATGATTGGACACAGAAAGTATCGTATTTTGCAGAGATGGCAAAAATATCCGCGTACCTGAAGGATCATTCGCAGGAGAAATTTATCTCAATGTGGAGAAGATGGATAGATTATATTCAGAGAAAGTATGAAGTGAAAAATTATCATGTAGCTTTTGATTAAAAATTTTAAACAAAAATATGTATAACAAATATTGATATATCTAAAAAAAAAATTGTATTTATTTTAATATTATTTTAGAGTCACAGTAAGTTTATACTAGTGTGTAGTAATAATGAGTAGCTGGGAATAGAATTTGATTATTGTGTGTTTATTTCCTAGATTAGCTTTGGGAAGTCCTGGGGGGGAGGGGGGAAAGGGGTAGGTTTGTATTATAGATTTATATGTACATATATGTATGATTTCTTTAAGGAGGTGTCCGGTGGTGCCCCAACTGCACAAGACGGGATGGCTGAGTGAGGAAGGGAGGTAGGAAAGAGGGAGGAAGGAGGAGTGGTGGTAGTTTGGGAGGAGGAAGGTGTGGCAAGTGGAAGAGGGTGGTGCAGGGGGGGGACACCGGACACGTCTGTGAATGTATTGATTAGTGTTATTTCTTTTGGTTGATATTGTGATAAAAGATCTATGTTTTTGTTTTTAATTGAAAAATTAATAAAAAATTCATTATAAAAAAAAATTCCCTATTTCCCTTAATTACTACATCACAATCAAATTAATACATTTCTAATTATAACACGATCAATTAAAACATTTATCAATATATTTTTACTTGTACTTATCATGTCCTGTTTTTGAATTTTACCTAATTTCAGTTACAGTGCTCCAATTTAGCCTTTAAGATCCATAATATTTAGCTTTCGGGTAACCAAAATTTCCCCTATTTCATTACATAGTAGTTATCATATCTAAAATGCACATATTGCTTAGTTAAATACATTCTTATCTTATTTCACAAATATATTTCACAAATATATTCTATTTCTCATCCTAGTACGTCATCACTTACTAACACATATATCCTTTATGTCTCAATCCAACTTCCATATTATAATTCAAAACTATACTGCTCACAAAAATAAAGGGAACATTTTACCATGGAACTGAAGGGGTTTGCGTTCCCTTTATTTTTGTGAGCAGTATATATTCTAATTGTAAATCAAAGAAGACCCATTTTTTAAGTCTAACTCTAGCTTTCTTTTTGTGCCAAGCAGGCTTCCATACCAGTGCCTTTAAATCCTCAAGTGGCTCTCCCTTCATTCCTACACATATTATTTGAGTCAAGGGAGACCATCCAGTTAACAATTTTTCAAAGGAACTGGCCCCTTTGTGATCATTAAAATGTTGTTCAAATAGTTCAAATCGCCATGTTTGGTTCAGTGTATTTGTCGTCAGTTCAATCTGGTCTTCTTCTTCTTCTGGTTTCATCTGACTTGGGTAAGAGATCATGTCCAGTGTTGTAATTGTTATTTGGTTGTCTAAATTCTCAGTATGGTATACTTGTAAGTCTTTAGGACCCTCCATCTTAGTATTGCTTTCTTCAGCTTGTGTTGTTTTTTGAGTTGTAGCTTTTATAGTTAGAATCAAGATTTGGCTATCAAAGTTCTCAGCAAATTGTACTTGTTGTTCTATAGAGTCCTCTGTCTTGATATTAGTTTCTTCCTCTTCTGTTGTTTTTTGGATTGTAGATTCATCAGTTGGAATCGGGGCTTCATTTTGTAGATTTAAGCTGGCACCTTTGTCTTTCAGTCTGGAATTCATTAGCTCAGTAGCTTCAAGGATTTTTTGAAGTATAAGCTTATAGTTAAGTTGTGGGTAGTATTCCTCCATTTCTAAGGTGTTTACAGATAGTTCTTTAGTGGAGGCTGTTTTTAATAAGAGTCAAAGAATGTCCACCTCCACTATTTCTAGAAGTTGTTTTCACAGCTGTTTCAGGTTCTTATCTTTTTTGATAGTACCAAGGACAAATCTTAAGCTGTAACCAGGTCTCACAGTGAGAGAAATTTCCTTGCTATACCAGGGTTCACCACAAGATTTCCTCAATAACATATAAAATCTTCTTCCAGACTCAAACTAGGCTTTTATCCAGTTTAAATGTTTTCCTTTTTTTTCTTTTTTTCTTTTTTCCAGCTTAACAAATAGACAGAGTAATAGGTCCCGGTAGAAGTAGGAAGTTTTTGGGACCCCAAATATCCAAAAGGTGCAAGTCCAATTGTTTAGTTATTTAATTTAGTTATACTTTTCTTTTCGAAGCTTTAACTCCCCAGGTAGGCAAACACTGCCATTCCAAAGGGGGGGAAAGAAAACTTGAAAATGCTCCCACAGGAAGGTAATTGGGGAAATAAGAAGGATAAGGTCTCACCGAAATCCTCTGCGTTGCTTTCGTTGTGCTTGGTAGTAATTTTGGCTTTTGACTGGAAACAGCTTAGTGATTGGCCATGTTGATGGTGGATCTTTTCTTCATCGGTCCAAAGAAGCTGCTCCGGATCACATGGAGAGACTGCCACCCCTCCGCGATCAGTTGGAGGGCCTCCTCACAGTCATTGCCCCTCCAGGGCGACTTTTGACCCTTTTCAGGGTCTCCCAACAGAGAAAAACCAGATGGCGAAGAGAGAGCTCTCTCCACACGTCCGCCAGCGCTGCAAGCGCAAACCGGAAGCCCAGTTTCCATTCATTACTTCTTGTTCTGACCTCAGCTGCTTTGGAAAATTGGTTGACTCCCCTCTTCTCTATGACAGTCTTTCAAATATTGGAAGACTGCTATCATGTCACCCACAGTCCTTCTCTTCGTCAGATTAGACATACACAGTTCCTGCAACATTCATCATATATTTTAACCTCCAGCCACCTAATCATCATTGTTGTTTTTCTTCACACTCTTTCTAAAGTCTCAAATTTTTTTTGTATCACAGGAGTCTTATCAAAGCAGTATAAAGTGGTACTATGACTTCCTGTGAACTTGATATTATCCTCTTTATCCCTCTGTTGATGCAACTTTGGACTAAATTGGATTTTTTGGCACCCACACCTTATTGGTGGCTTATTTTTAAATGGTTGTCCACTAGAGGACTCCTAGATCATTCTCACAGTTAGAACTGTTGAATTTAATCACTTTTTTGGAATATTTATTTATTTTACATATTGATGACATTGACCCTTTTGATCAGAAAATTCATCCAAATTTAGTAAGTGAATTTCTGAATCCTTAAGAGATACTGTAAATTTGATTTTAAAAGTTTTAAAATCCATCCAGCAGATGAATTCCTAAGCAACCATTCCATTCCATTATTCTATTCTGTTCTGTTCTACCTCTTGTTTGGAAGAAATGCTGAACATAAATTCTCTTTCATGGAACTTAAGGCTTGGCTGACGACAAAACATGTTTTTCTCAATGGCATTGGATTGCCACGTAGTTAAAATATTTATTTTTGAAAATTAATAATGGATTAAGGAGTCAGAGGGATTTGGAATTATAATTTTGAATTATACAAAACACAGAGGTTCCCAACCCCAAGACCACGGACTATTACTGGTCCACAAGTCCATTAAGAACCGGGTTGTGCAAGCAAATGAAGCTTCATCTGCGGATGCACAGGATCTACTTACTGGTCCAGTAAGCACATACATACTAGTCCAGTAAGCACATACACACTGGTCCATGGAAAAATGGTTTTCCACAGTCCCTGAGTGCCCCAAAGAGGGGTCCCATTGACCCATCTAGAAGAAAATATTTACTCATGAAGAAATGGAAATTGCTTTCATTTTTGCTTTGTTTTGAAGGCTGGACACCAAAGGCAGAAGATAAAGAAAATGAAGTGGAAATCCTTAGCACAAACTTTGAAAAGCCTGTCCGTTTTTGGACAGGATGGATGAAATGCTTGATCAAATTGACAGATCATGCTTTAATGAAGCTTTGTAACAAGAATGAGCTGCAAAGAATTTTAAAATTATATTTCACAATTTAGCTCGTTTTCACTTCAGGTCTTGTTTTTGCTCATGGCGAGAACTGGAAAGTGATGCGACGGTTCACATTATCCACATTACGGGAATACGGAATGGGAAGGAAGACCATTGAAGACAAAATCACAGAAGAGTGTAGTGTCTTAACAAAGACAATGGAGACTTATGCAGGTGGGTTGGCATTTGCTCCTAATGCTCTACTGGAGCATCTTCTAAGATAAATGTAGTGTGGGAAATAATTTCCTCAGATCATTTCAAATAAACAAGGAGTATTTTAGGAGGTACTTTCTCTCCAACAATTCTTAATCCATTGTTTTCTTCCTATAAATAGGTTTCCTTGGCCAATTTTTGCTAAGTATATTTACAGAAATGTGACTTATGAATAGCAAAATGGTTCCAGAGGACTTCAATAGTTAATTCAGTATAATACAACAATCTCTCATCAATAACACTTCTAGATTTACTTGTCTGTAGAGATTCCTCTAGTTCCTCTATGTAGAGCGGGTTGCAAGTCCTTCATCTGAGCATGAAAATTTCTTGTAAACTGAAGTTATTGCTCCTCCCTGCTTTGGGTCAAGGATAATCAAATGGTAGTTCCCCAAAGAATGGAAAGATATAATCTAAATTTATTAAGTGAGCTAGAGAAAACCTATTTTACTCATGTTCTCCAACAAAAGTATTATTTTTGAATTGTCAATATGGAATCCTGCATAGTCATAAGGATCAAGCTCAGATGGTGCACCTACTCAGGAGCACATCTCACAGGTAGCTAAAGTAGAAGGAATCTCGTATTTTCCAAAATATTAGTTATTAAAGCTCTACAATGTCAAATGTGCCTAGCACACAATATCTGGGTTGTGAACATCTGGATAATTATGGGATAGCAGAAAGATACACAAAGTTCTCATCATCTGCATTTTTGCAATCCAGAAATGAAATGGATATAATTGACTTGAGGAAAAAGCAATAAGAGAGGTATGTGATATAAAAATAATCTAGAAAACTAAAAGTTCCTTGTCTAACTGCCAAATGAGTTTTCTTTTATGGAGCATGCCAATATATCTACAAACTCAGCATTGCAATAAAGAAAGGCATGAGATCCTAAAAATGCAATATCTAGTTTATTAAGCATTACATAAGAATCAAAGTCTATAAAGGGTATAAATTCTAGTCTTTTCCTTCTACCATTCTGAGTGAATGGTATTTTGGCTGTTCTGTTCTCAGATTTGAGGTTGGGAAGTGGCTGCAGTGTTATCTTAATCATTCTGTCCTGCCTTTTGGGAACTATTGGTTAGACACAACTGTAAATATCTGCATGGAGATCTATTAATATTTCCTCCTATATAGTATACCTACTTTTCCTTCCTTCATTTTATGAAGCTCAGTAGCTATTTGATTTTTAAAACTGCAGTCACTTAATGAGGAAGCATCACAATAACTTTGCCAGGTATTTTATCCTCAAGGAGTACCAAGAAATCATCACGATGTATGGTCAGATACTCCAATTTTTCCTCTGGGATAATGAGCTACCCTTTAAATACTTTCGCATATTTTTTAATCTAAATACTTCCAATGTCAACAGCTCTAGCCATGGCCTTTTATGATAAATGCTCCCTTTATCTAAGCTGATTTTATGTATTAATGCAGTGAAAAGCAATTTTAATCTTGGTTTCATTTACAGTTCTCTTTTGATCTATTGTTTGTTGCTCAGGAAAACCCTTTGACATCACAACAATTCTGACTGCTGCTGTTTCTAACATCATTATTTCTATCCTACTCGGGAAACGCTATGAATATGAAGATGCCAAATTTCTACAACTACTGAAGGCAAACAGTGAAAATATTCAGCTTTCAGGAAGCCCTGCTATATTGGTAAACTAATCTTTAAAAAATGTCACAAAAAACAGGCAGCACAATGGCTTAGATGAGGGACTGGAAGGGGAACACATCAGATTTGCAGATTACACTAAGCTGGCAGGAATAGCCAATACCCCAGAAAACAGCTTACGATCCAAAAAGATATTGATAGACTTGAACAATGGGTCCTATCAACAATTTAATATGGAGAAAAGCAAGGCTTTACACTTAAACCAAAGGTACAAGTACAGATTAGGCAAAACCTGGCTCAAAAACAGTAACTGTGAGAGGGACCTTTGGAGTCGGAGTGGAAAATCACTTAAATATGAGTCAGCAGTGTGTGGCAGCAGCCAAAAAAGCTAATACAATCCTTGGTTCCATAAACAGAGGCACAGAATCAAAATCACATAAAGTATTAGTACCACTTCATAAAACCTTAGTAAGACCACAGCTGAAATACTGTATCCAGTTTTGGTCACCACATTACAAAAAAGATCTTAAGACTTTGGAAAAAGTGCAGAGAAGAGCAACTAAAATGATTAAAGGCCTGGAGACTAAAACATACCAAGAACGGTTGGTCTTTAACCCATACCAATCAGATCTCTTTTCTTCTTGACACCCCCTTCTCTACTATCGTCATAAGGTCATAAACTCCCCGACGGTGTTTCTATTCTGTCAGTTGAATAAAAGGTTTCGTGGTTTTCCGTTCTCTTCTTTGTTACCCACCTTTGATTAGTTCCTCTCTTCGTTGGACCTTAATTCCTTTTTGAAGGATTCAGTGAGAACAATTAACCAGTGGAACAGCTGTCTTTAGAAGTTGTGGATGCTTCATCACTGGAGGTTTTTAAGAAAAGACTGGACAGTCACTTGTCTGAAATAGTATAGGGTCTCCTGCTTGAGCAGGGGTTGGACTAGATGACCTACAAGATCCTTCCAGCTATATTCTGATTGATTGATTGATTGATTGATTGATTGATTGATTGATTGATTCTCAAAGTTTAATTGAGAAGCAAAGCATGTTGCTTCTCCTGGGCATCTGTAGCAAGATTACATCCAAAAACAACATGAAGATGATGACATCAGGATTCAAATCCTACCTTTATGTAGTTGCATGCAAACATTTCATGAAAGTATGGAAACCACTTTTTAACATCATGAACTCATGATGCGTGCTTCATCATTTCCTCTCCCTTCCTTGCAAAGACTTGTTAACACACTCAAATTGGAAAAGTGGGAGTCTTCATTGAAAATATCTTTCCATCTTTCCTTTTCTTTATACAGTACTCTACACATGTACTAAACTGCTCCCTTGACGAAGACTTGCATTGAGTTTTTTGCATTGATGGTTTACACCACTTGTTGGGAATTAACACAATGTTACTACATTGTGGAACTCATTCAATAGTATGGTAGAAAATAAGCACTCTCCCAAAATCTGTGTGGAGGTTCAGTCCATGGGATTTGGGGCTTAGTGAATTAGCAATATTGACTATTCAAAGCTCATTCAGTCATGTGATCTTACTCATTATTGTAGGGTTTTATTTCGTTTTGTAGACTTGGGGAACATAAACATGTTTGAGATGTCCATGTGAGAAATTAAAAGTATTCAACTTCCATAATATATGTTTTCTTTTATCATTCTTTCAGCTATATAATTTGTTTCCCATGTTGGGGTTCCTTTTGGCTACTCCTAAATCAATGATAAAGAATCAGAGTAAACTTCATGATTTCATACAGACCATCCTCAAACAATATTTACAAGATCTTGATGAAAATGACCAGAGCAATTTGATTGAATCATTTCTTGTTCGGCAAAGAGAAGTAATGAATTATTTTATACGTGTGTGTAATTACATTTTTTTACATATTTTAAAAATTTGCCTCCATAGAAATTATCTGCTGGTTGGTTAAGGTCCTTGTTTCAGAAATATAGAAGGAAACACATTTTTTTAATCATTTCCTGTGCATTACTTTTTTTCAGAATCTGCAGCTGCTTAGAACTACACTACAGATGGATTTTTTTTCTCCATTAAAAACTCCATAAATATTAATCATTTTCTGGAGGAGTGGCTCCAAGCGGTGGTGGGAATGGGTGATCACTTTGTGCCAATGGTTTCTTTGTATGTATAATTGTTTGATATTAGAGTTTTTCTTCTAAGAATCCAGTAATGTTGGGGCAGCTGAAACCACTGGGGGGAGATATTAACCACATAGGAAGACTTCATGGACTCCAGGAATATTGGTTATGTGAATAGATTGTGTTTCCTTACCTGTATTTTCTTTATATACTTCAGGAGAATATGAAGATGAAAAATGATGGATATTTCCGTAATGAAAACCTTATAGGTCTCGTAGATGACTTATTTGGTGCTGGTACAGAAACAATAGCAAACACTATGTGCTGGGCCATACTCCTAATGATGAAGTATCCAGAAATTCAGAGTAAGCACTTTCATTTCATTGACTTCCAATAAAAATATAAACATGATGGCAAAAGAATTGTTGGCATCTGGAATGTTACTTGAATGAAGGGAAAGAGATGAACCAAGAAATAAATTGCCTGTAAAATAGACAAGGCAACACTGATCTCACTAAAGGTAAATTCATCTCACAAATGAAAATGAGTTTTAATAAAACCTTTAAAGCTGAGAGTGTTAATTTTCAAGAGGAGGTGGAGTCAGCTCTAGCTGCACTGAAGGGGAAGGAGGAGAGTGGGGGGGAGAGGAGAGGAGATCAAGGAGTCCAAGCAGGCTGACCATGAGCTGATTTACAACTTCTGTGGCAGCCACCTGTGCTGGCAGCAACAAACAGGCAAGAAATGCAGCAGGGGAGGGGTTGCCCTCCACAAGAAATGAAGAAAGGTAGCATCAGCTGGAGGTGAGACAGGGAGGGAGATGGAGAGTGGAAGGATTTTTATGTGCTTTTGTGACTTTGAAATTCTGGGATTTGTGCAATGAGGGCTTTGTGTTCTTAAGGAGTGTTTGGCAATTTCTGTTTGGCTGATGGCTGATGTCTCATGTTAGCTTCTATTGCTCTGCTGTTGTTAGCTTTAACTTTTGCTGCAAGGGATTTTGAAGTATTTTTCTCCTGAATGGATTTTGCCTGTAGCATTCCTCTACTTATGTATGGAGCCATTTGGGGAGGCTGCCTTAGACGGCAGTCAGTACTTACTACATTTTTTCTTCCATAAGTGCCGGCTGCACTCCTTAACTTTCCTTTCTAGCCAGTAACTAATTCTTAAAGGGGAATGTGCCTTTTTAAGCTAGTTCAATCAGCAGCTTGTCTTTTCTGTCTCTGGAGGCTTTTCCTTGTTTGATGAATATATGGAAGAGGGAAAATATGGGGGGGGGGGTGTTTCAAATTCTTCCTTCAGAAGGAGGTGGGCATGAGAAAGAGGGAGGCAGGGAAGGAGGGAGGGAAGGAAGTCCCACCTTAGCACTTGGCCACCAGCAGCCCTGCCATTGACTTTGCTTGTCAAAAGGTTGCAGAAGGGGATCACATGACCCTGGGACACTGTGACCATCATAAATATGAATCAGTTGCCAAGCATCCAAATATAAATCACATGACCCTGGGCATGTTGCAATGGTCATAAGTGTGAAAAATGGTCATAAGTCATTTCAGTGCAATTGCAAATCTGAACAAGTTTTTTTTGTTGTTTTTTTTTGGTCATCAAGTTTTTGACACCTTGCTAGTGGTACTTAAATATTGCCATATCCTAAAAGTGATAGAGTCGGTGAAAAGGTTGAAAAGCCCTGCATTAGGAGACCACAGTCATTACTTTTCTTTTTAGCCATTCAAATATTTTATTAGTTTATCAAAATATAAAATACAGAAGTACAAAGAAAAATGAAAATAACTGGAAAATAAGGGAGGAAAAGGACTAGAGAAAAAATGCAGGATAAAGGGGAAAAGAAAAAGAAAAGCATTTATTTCTGATGCTTTTGGTGCAGTACAATAAATTAGTAATATGAAACCTCAACTTTTTACTTTTATACTGTATAATAATATACACTAGACATTTCTATAACAACAGATCTATCTAATCAACAAAACCCCAAATCAAAGTTTCATTTTTTTTACACCTCAAGCATAAAGTCCAAAAGCAGTTTCCAAGTAGAAACAAAATTAATTATGTTCTTTTCTTTAATCAAAGCAGTCAATTTAGCCATATCTGCTAACTCCATTAATTCTGCAGCCATTCATCCATTGTGAGAATCAAAGTTTCCTTGCATTTTTGTGCATAAAGTATTCTTGCTGCCGTCAACATATATAACATCAAACTTCTTTTTTTCAAGTTCCTTATCAATTAAGCCTAAGAGAAAGGTTTCTGGTGGAAAAGTCCACAGTTTGAACCTCACTGTAGACCCAAAGTTCTAGGACAGTGGTGGCGAACCTATGGCATAGGTGCCAGAGGCGGCACTCGGGGCCCTCTCTGTGGGCACATGTGCAGTTGCCCCAGCCTTTCCTCCCCCCGCAACCCTCTCCTCACCACCAGCCCCCCTGGAGGAGAGTCACCCCTGAGCATGGCCCACGTGGAGCAGCGCAGTCAAGGACATGGCAGCCAGGCAGCGTAGACAAGACTCGGCCCTCACACTCCATCGCACACAGTTGATGCTGCGGGGCGTGGACAGAGGGCATGGCCGCCATGGCGCTGTTGGGCTGCCTGGGCGATCTGCTGTGGGCCCTAGTAGCGGTGAGTGGCCCTGTGGGCAGGCGGAGCAGGGGCGGGGTGGGGGTGGGGCAGAGGGTGGAGCAGGGATGGGGCAGGGGGTGGAGCAGGGACGGGGCCAGTTTTGGGGCACTCGGTCTCTAAAAGGTTCACCATGACTGGGCTAGCACATCTAACAAAGTAATTATTGAAATCAACATTTACTTTTACCTAATAATACCATAAATAGCCATGCCATCCAAATCCTAATTCATGCCCTTCTTTATTTTGGAGTGTCACCCACACTTTTAGTAAGACCAAACAACAGGCATCAAACTATAATTTCAAAACTGGTAAACCCCAACCTCCCCCCCTTTTTTTTAGCATCTTGCAGTAATTTATATCCCATTCTTGTTTTTTTTCCCTCTTGCCATATAAACTTAGAGATGTCCATCTGCCATTGTTTAAGTGGAGTATCCAGTTTTGGTCACCATGATGTAAAAAAGATGTTGAGACTCTAGAAAGAGTACAGAGAAGAGCAACAAAGATGATTAGGGGACTGGAGGTTAAAACATATGAGGAACAGTTGCTGGAATTGGGTATGTCTAGTTTAACGAAGAGAAGGACGAGGGGGGACATGATAGCAGTGTTCCAATATCTCAGGGGCTGCCACAAAGAAGAGGGAGTCAAGCTATTTTCCAAAGCGCCTGAAGGCAGGACAAGAAGCAATGGATGGAAACTAATCAAGGAGAGAAGCAAGCCAGAACTAAGGAGAAACTTCCTGACAGTTAGAACAATTAACCAGTGGAACAAATTGCCTCCAGAAGCGGTGAATGCTCCAACACTGGAAGTTTTTAAGAAGAAACTGGACGGCCATTTGTCCGAAATGGTATAGGGTTACCTGCCTGAGCAGGGGGTTGGTCTTGATAAACTCCAAGGTCCCTTCCAACTTTATTATTATTATTATTATTATTATTATTATTATTATTATTATTATTATTATTATTATTATTATTATTATTATTATTATTATTATTATTATTATTATTATTATATAAGTAAACGTTGTTTTCTATTTTATTTTATTTGAAGCCTGCTAAAGCTCCAAACACAAATATTCTATATTGGTTTGGGGTCTTGCAAAAATATAACTAAATTGTCAACAATTTATAAATAAATAATTTATAATTGTCAGTTTATAAACTTCCTTTTTGATATTTATTTTATTTGTTTATTTATTTGTTTAAATTTTTATCCCGCCCTTCTCCTTACGGACTCAGGGCGGCTGACAGCCTAGTAAAACAGATACAAAGATAAAAATACCCACTTTAAAACCTAATTAAAATGAAATATTTGACGTGGCCTGTGTCAATTTAAAATTATTCTTAAAACCCCACTAAAAATTCCGTAGGCCAATCCCGCTTGTTGGAAGAGCCATGTCTTAAGGGCGCGGTGGAAGGAGGGGAGATCCGGGATCACCCGGATCTCTGGGGGTAGTTCGTTCCAGAGGGTGGGAGCTCCCACCGAGAAGGCCCTCCCCCTGGGGGTCGCCAGCCGGCACTGTCTGGCTGACGGCACCCTGAGGAGACCCACTCTGTGGGAGCGTA